GCGCTAATGTCATCATTACGACAGCAATCATCTTCTATTACTACTCGGACCGTTCACGTTTAAATTAATTAGAGTATATTTAGGCTTTATAACGCGTCTGTTTCTCGCCTTATTGATGAACAGGAATTGTAGTTTGCGAGTAAAGCAGTACAAGGAAACTGTGCCTCTTCATTAACTTTTTGAAGCATTAAAGTTTTGGAATGGACTTTCAATGGAGGGACAGAAATCACTCAGGTAAAAATTCGAAGATGAACGAAAGTCGCGGGTGGAATGACATGAGGGTGAGTAATTAATGACAGAATTTTCATTTTAGGGAGAATTAATGCTTATATGAGTGAGACACAGACATATTAGGACATTACATACCTTTTGAGCTACAGCGGAGAACTTGAGCACATTGAGCGTCTCGTCATACATGGAGGCGCACTGGTTGATGTTTACAATCATACAGGCTTTGCCCCGGCCCGTAAAGTATCCCTGCAGATAGTGAGTGAGTTTGCTCTCTCTGAATGGAACGTGCTGTCTAAAAGGACAAAGTAAGAGTGATTAAAAGACAAAGAAATGGGAGAATACAAGAAAAGAAAAAGGCACTAGCATACTTGGCCTGCTGGTTATTTCTGAGTGCACTGATGCATTTTCCCAGACTGAGCAGAGAGGTGTTGATGTTTCCCGCCTCTTTCAGCCGTTCACCTTTATTTTGTGTCTTAGCACATCGCTCCGATCCAGCCAGATCACACAATGCCAGCCTGGAACCAGAGTCCATACTTTTACAAAACATTCTGAAACACAACACAAACACCCTGCAGAGAGCTCAGATTAGAACACACAGACTCACTCGCTGACTGACTCCACTCTGGGTATTCCCACATCCTCCACCTTCAGGATCCGGACAGAGAAAATACTGTGGCTAAAAATTCAACAAAGAGAGACAAAGTCTGAATAACAGATCCATACAGAATCCACCACATTCAAACAGATAAGCACCAGGAAGGAATTTGTACCTCCTGCTAGAGAGCAGGTTGAGTTTAGTACTGGAGATGCTCTGATTCCTTTTCCCCAGTTTCATCACTTTTAAGGCTTCATCAGCGCTGCTCACTTGAACCCATTTCAGATCTGGAAAATTAACAAAAAAGAACCCCAGTTATGAGCAACAATGCAATCTGCATAGGCTACATACACAGTTTTCTTAATCAACCAACTGAATCACCCATGGAAATGCTATTATTGCTACATTTATTTCTTGTTGCTCTAGCACCAGCACCTGGCCAGTTTTAGCTATTACACATTATTTCCAAACAAACAAACCCGAACTTCGCTCCAGTACATTCAAATGAACCTATATGTATTTTTTTTTTTAATGATTTAATGAAGAAATGTTGCAGTGTAATAGTGCAGTGTCTCACTCCTGTAGCTCAAACAGTACATGGCAATAGAAAGGCCAATGTCATGAGTTAGATTCCTAGGGAATGCATAAAAGGTCAAATGTAAATGAAGACACACATTATTGCATTCCCATCCCAGCCTTACAAGCTGGATTCATTTTGTTGTTACATGCAAACCTTTATTATATCAGATTATCAGGGTTCATCTTTTACTTGGATGCACCATGAGCTCCATCTTAATTTATTGACAGAATAAACAGCAAATTACAGAAGCAGGTGCTCCTTTACCTTTGATGAATGAGTTTCCTTTGACGTCTTGACAAAGGCGGAGGTTGGTTCTCCGTGAACCATTGCTTGCCTGCTGTTCTAGCAAGTCGTGAATGTTCTCATTGTAGATCTCGCAGAACGAGACCCATATAGAAAACTTGGTGTGCATGTCCATATCCACAGGTAAACTCCCCTCATTCGCTGCAGAGCTTATATCACAGAGAGAGGAACCATCTAACAGGAAACCAAAAAAATGTTTCAGCCAGACAAACAATATAAACAGACTGCCAAGCACAACCTTAGAGAAGTGCACACTAGCTGAAAAATTCTCTTTACCTTCAAGATCAGACTGCAAGCTGTGGGAAGACTTCTGCGCATCAGTCTAAAGAGAAGATTCAATCTAAAGATTCAGTCAAATGAACACTCCTGTAAAAACTGAGGGTGTTAAACTTATTATGACATTATTGTACCTCTTTGAAAAGCTTGAGCAGGTTGCGTTTGCCAACTGCTTCTTCATTTTGCTGCTCTTTGGTGAGTCTGATGAAATCCCGGCACCTCTGGGGTTTCAAGCACATCTGAGTGAAGATGCGACCATCCAGACTACTGAAGATCATGTTGAGGGAACGTGGCAAGATGCCTGGATCTGTATCTGGACCTAATACATAAACACATATTTTCTAAAGGCATCTTAATGATCTTATTGCAAATAATCCATGAGTATGTTTCTTTTTTACAAACTAATTTTTTTTTTTACAAACTATTAATTTTTAATCTTTTTGATGATAATCCGAGAGCTTTCAGTCCCTCCGTTGGGAGCAATGCAATTTACATATTCAAGGTCCAGAATGATAGGAAAGACATCAAGAAGTTGTTCCGTGAACACGATTCTTTATAATATTTTTATGTAAATATTGAGGTAAATTTTGTTTTGTTTTTGCGCAAACAAAGCACTTGCGTCGCTTAAAAATAAAATAAAATTGAGGTTAAACCACTGGAGTCACATGGATTACTTTAATGATGTCTTTCCTATCGTTCTGGACCATGAATGTGTAAATTGCATTGCTCAAAATGGAGGGACTGAAAGCTCTTGGATTTCATCAAAAATATCTTAATTTGTGTTCCGAAGATGAACAAAGGTCTACTTATCTTACAGTAGACCACAAGCTTGCATTCAGATCTGTCTATATTCAACCAACAACCAGATATAACCAAGTCCTCGCTCCGCTTTTTTATATTCGATACGGAAGAAATGATCTGTCGCTACTTCTGTTTCATTGTGCCTTTAATCACCAAGATCATCAATACAGACCCTACTTTACAAGGTTGTTCTGATCTAAACGGATGTTAATTTATTGACCCTAATACACGTTCCTGGCCTTTTTGCGAAACATTCATTAGGTGCACACTGCTTCAATGAAAATACAAATCTTTGTAATCTTTTATTAAAATGTAGTAACTTTTACCTCTTTTTAGAAAATAATTAAGTCTGTCCATGCAATAACAAAATATACAAACCTAAAAATGTGAAGGTCTTCCCAGCATTGGTGACACCATATGTGAAGACCAGAGAATGTTGTCCCTCTAGAACATCCTTTACAAGACCCTTCACTGTGCCATCAAACATATCCTTCTGTGTAGTGTCTGGACCATAAACCTAAAAATACCACACAATAATATAAACCTTGTATGTCACATGAGCAAATATGACCATAACTCAAGACAGAGCAGTACTTCCAAACAGAAGAGAATTTTATTTACAAAAGATACATTTGTTTGTCAAATTGGTTGTCAAAAAAACACTGGCTCACACAATCAGTCACTAGTATAGATTGTGTGTGTTGATGGATTAGCTTGCCTGAGAGAACTGGAAACGTTGAGCTGTAACTGGCACTGATTTATCACTGAGCCTGGCAGAGAGAGATGATCGTGGAGCTTTGAGAAGCACAGTCTCTGGAGGCTGAATGGCCACACATTCCTTCAAAAACACAGAGAGAAGGAGAGAAGACACACCATATCAAAACACTTCTACATGAGGGTTTGCATTTTAGGGGTGCTTGAAATATGTGAAATATCCCTGAACCATTTCTTCCTAATTTTCACCTGTGATTCTCCATTCACCATCTCAGCTGCTGAAAATGGTCTTATTCTAAGATACACCTTCAAATGTTCCTTCTCCAGGTCAGACGGGTCCTACAAAAAAAACATCAAGGCTTCAACCATTTCAGCTGACCATTTCAAAAATCATACATTTATGAACAGACATTTTCATAAAGTCATGGCCGTCTGTCATCTTACCTGGAAATCCGAACACTCGCTGAACTCGGAGGACAGATTTCTCCTTAGATCTTCCACAACCATCATCTGCGGCCTTGCCGGATCATCCTTTAGCCCTGACTCCATCATTCTGCTCTAAAGAAACATTTAAGAAGACATAAATTAGGAAAATGAAATAACAGCCTGATATATGTCCACCCTTTTATCACATCTGATGTTAATAAGACCCTTTGACATTTTAAAGATCCTACTTATTGTTACACTTTCTCAATTATCTTACGTACATTTTAACAGACAATTTACACAACTTTTACAGATATTTTATAAGTAACGTTAAGTTAAATCTGGGGAAAAAATGACACCAGGACCCTCCCAAACTCACACAAACACCAGATAAGAACAGGTCAGCAAAGCATGCGCATTAAAACAAGTTAATTTAGTTGACTTACAGGGCTGTCAAAGGATAGAGTGTGTGCTATATTGTGTTTGACTTCGTTACTGTGTTTTATTTGTGTTGTCTCATCTCCCAAACTGTCGCGCGTACTTATTTTCAAATTCCACCAATCGGATAAGCGAGAGCAGCAGCAAAGGCTGCTGGGAGCGCGTGCTCGTGCACGTCATTGTGGCGTTATAAATTCGCAGAAGCTAGATTTGTGTGCGCAATTCTCATTATAATATTGTTGCAGATTTTACACAGTTGTTTGGTTTGGTTTTTAGAGTGGTTATTTTATTTCCTCCTGTGTTGTATTTTCGCTTTTAAAGTGTAATTCGTCAGTCAGAACTGAAGATAAAATAAGAAAAAAGGGTACCCCCAAACGTTGATGAAAACATGGTGCAAATTAGATGTCTTGATCACTTTCTTATTAATAGATCTTGAGACTGTGCCTTAAAAACTGCCTGAATTCCTGCTTGAGGATATTAAAATGGTCTTTTTCAGTTTGTGTATTTAAATGTATTAATGTAAAACTTCCCAATAAACAAAAGTAAGTTTAGGCCTATGCCAAATTGATCCATACTTTTGTAATTAATCTAATTTAAAATGTTTGTTTAAAAAAAGAAGAAGGTGGAAACACATGGTGACACATACCAAAACACTTTATTCACATATGATTAAAATTATTCACAATTACATTTAAGTGCAAGAATTACAAAACACGTTTATCAATGCACATTTCATAATGGAGGCCCGTGAACCCGGTACCAAGTCTTTCACAAATCCAGTCCAAAATCAATTACAATAATATCCATCATAATAAACATTCTCAGACCAGCATTCACATTCTGTTCCTTTTCTGAAAACGTATAGTTCGGTCTCTAGTCTGTCTAGACATTTTCCCATTAGATCAAACGGTCATGGACATTTTTCAAATGCTCACAAGTATAGAAAATAAATTAAAATAATATTAAATAAATACACTGAACAAGCAAATAAACATCCAACCACTCACACGTTCATGTCTTGTGCCACTCCCTCAAGATTCGTTTTCTCTCAAAATCAAGTGAGAAAACAATATTTACAAATAACCTCATCAATATTTCGGACACTCTATTGCCAGCAATTAGCGTCATCATTACGTAAATTGAAAAGAACTGTTCAGAAAGAAAGAAAGAAAGAAAACATTCAAAACAAAAGTTGTTCATCTGGCTTTGGTGCTTCCTCTTCATTAAAGTTATTCAGGATGTTTTTCACACCTTTTTGCCATGAAAGCAGAGTCTCCATTGGTGTCTTTCCATCCTGTAAATGACAGATAATTTTAAGGATATATCCATTAAAAATATACCTATTCAAACAGATATATTTGTACAACTAGACTTCCAAGGAATACAGTAGAGACCATTCTTTCATTGTTCTTTTATGCATATCTTGCTTCTTAAATTTGATATTGTGGAGAGTCAGCATCGGGGCATTAAAGGGTTAGTTCACCCCAAAATGAAAATTCTGTCAGTAATTACTCACCGTCATGTTGTTCCAACCCCGTAAGACTTCCGTTCATCTTCGGAACACAAATTAAGATATTTTTGATGAAATCTGAGAGCGTGAACTCACTTAGGCCCACGCAGAAGAAAATGAAAAGTTGAATAAAGTCGTTATTTTTGTTTGTTTTTTGCCCACAAAAAGTATTCTCGTCACTTGATAAACTTAAGGTTGAGCCACTGTAGTCACTTGGACTATTTTAACGATGTCTTTAATAACTTTCTGGGCCGGCAAGTTTCGATCCCATAGAAGCCTATGGAGGAGTGAGACAGCTCTCAGATTTCATCAAAAATATCTTAATTTGTGTTCCGAAGATGAACGGAAGTCTTACGGGGTTGGAACAACATGAGGGTGAGTAATTACTGACAGAAGAGCGTCAGTGTTGTTACTGTTCACTAAAAATAAAAACTAATTGAAATAAAGAGGGAAAATATAAAATATAAATATCAGGTAAAAAAAACTTCCAAAATTATGAAAACTAAAGCTGAAATAAAAATAAATTAAAGCTGAATAGAAATATACAGGCTAACCAAAAAATATTCAGACACCAGATATAATTTTTTATATTTTTTACTAGTGGGTGCAGGACACTGGTTCATTTATGTAAGTGAGGGTAGCAAAATAAAGTAAACTGTGACATATGATACCCAAAAAGTCTTCATACAGTGGACTACCAGTAAAATTTATAAAAATTTGGGACCAATTATTATATAGACACTTTGACCTGACCATGTTTTGTGACCTGACCAAGTGTTTTTTTCTTTAATTGCTCACAGGGTTGGAACAACATGAGGGTGAGTATTTACTGACAGAATTTTCATTTTTGGGTGAACTAACCCTTTAAACATAATCCTGTAGTAACTCAATCTGTCTCTAGAGGGCACCATGCAAACATCAACTCATACAGTTAAGATTGTATGTACCCTGATTGAACTTACGTTGTTTTTGGCATTTAGACTGGCTCCATACATCATCAGCAATTTTATCATTTTAAATCTATTTATCCTCACTGCGTCGTGCATTGGTGTGTCTCCATCCTACACAAGCACAAAACATTAGCATTAGAGAAGAAAGCAACAGGTGGGACAATGCATTACTAATGTTATAAATTTGCTATTTAAAATTATTTAAAGAAAAAAGTCACTTTTCCTCAAGACCATAGTGTCATGTTAACATTATATATTAAAATGACCATATTAAAGTGCCCCTATTAAGCTATTTTAAAGGTTCCTAATTTTGTTTTGTAGGTCTTCAATAGTGTTACATGCATCCTCATAATATTCCGCGAGCCTACTCTGTTCTGATTGGTCAGACTGCCCAGTCTGTTGTGATTGGTCTACCACTTACAGTGCGTGTTGGAAAACAAACGCCTATTAGCTCTGCCTCAGCACTTGCACTCTGCCTCATAGGATCTGCCTCAGCACTTGTACACACCGTGATAAGAACAGTAACAATGGAGTTGGTTTTACCATATCAATTCGAGCCTGAGTCCACATCCTTTGGAAGTACATGTAAAGTGGATTTGCAGAGCTAAAAAACAGCATCTATTGACATGTCGACAACACAAACCAAACTCTTCCAGGCCTCAGCTACAACTACAGTGTTTGAGGGTGGGTCAAAGTAAACATGATTCACAGGTAGCCAATGAAGACCATATGCAAATATATGCAAATGTGTTACATTGTTACGTAGGTTTGTAACTGGAAGTAAGACTGGAATTATGTGACGACTTGTTTCGGCTGTTCAGAATTTATTCTTTCTATTAGGAGACATTAACTTTATTTGTCGTGCACTTTGATCTTTAAAACTTTGCAGGCCTTTTAACTCACAAACAGCTATATTACACCCTTCATGAAAGGTTATATTTGAAAAAGCATAATAGTGGCACTTTAAAGCCTTGTTTATACTCGACGCGTCCGCACGAGCGCGAGTCTCCGCTGACTGCGCGCGCACCTCTCCAAACGGACGAGGCGTTTATACTTGACGCGCTCGCCGTTGTGCTATTCTGTGAAACGACAGGGGGCGACTCGGAGTAATTCTCCTCTAAACCACCAGGAATCAGCAGTGAAGAAGTAGTTTGCCATTTATTAGTAGTTTATTAATTTCTGATTCATATAAAAAGAGTAATAAATGCAGTAGGTTTATTGCACTTTCACTGCATGTAAACTAGTAAACAACTGAAGCCTTATTGAAGAGTGTTTAAACCTTAATTTCATCAGCAGGGCTTAATTCTGCTATTGTAGGCTTATTTTGTAAATGTAAGCAGTTACTTTATACAAGTGCAAACTGGGTGCTTAATGTAAATGTGTTCCTATTCACAAAATGAGAGGCTTTTATGGTCGCCCATCAATACAAATGTCTCTGTGTATAGAAGGATCATAAACATGGTGGTACAGACATACCAGTTCGGCCAGATTCGGCTCGAAGTCGTTCATCTTCGGATGCGGCGCCGCGCGCGATGTTACAAAAAGTGCCGTGCACACCGCCAGGCGAAATGGGGTCTTGCGCACCCAACGCGCACGACCGCCCACACCGCAATGACGTCATTTTTGCCGCGCGCACTTCGCGCTCTTGCGGACGCGTCGAGTATAAACAAGGCTTAAAGCTTCTGAATGTTATGGAAATAATGTGCAAAAAGAATTCTTACCCTGTCTTTAGCATTGACATCCGCTCCACAGTGAATGAGATGCTCAGCACAGTCGTAATGTCCCGTCCGAACTGCAACATGGAGGGGAGTGCTGCATAGCTGAAGATACACAAGAAGAGTTTTAGTTAGTGCACCTAGTGCTAAGAGTGCAAACTACAGTGCCAACCCAGAGGCGCAAATTGAAAACTTTATGCACAAGAAGGATACATAATGCTTTATCATTGCTTGCTACAGAAACTTTAGCATGTCAAGCATTAGAATGATTTGTGAATGTCATTATCACTGTCCAAAGACCATCTGGTGTCATATGCTCACAGTAGCTTTATATCTACCTTGTCTCTAGTGTTGAATTTGGCTCCATTATTTAAAAGCAGCTCCAGAGCATGCAGGCTTCCACCTCTACAGGCCCAGTGCACAGCTGAGGCATCCAGCTATCATTATGATTAAAAAAAAGCATCTCAGGATTATAATATAAAATAAATGTGAGAAAATAATCTTGTAGCACTGGTGTAAAAGTCACATCAGCCATCTGTGCAACCTTGTCTTTTTGTTCCATGGATGCTCCACTCTCCAGGAGCTTCTGCATGATCTCTGTGTGACCTTGTGCACTGGCTTTATGCAGAGCTGAGCGTTTAAACTGAGAGAGAGAACAAGTGAGAGTCAGTGTTGTTACTGTTAACTAAAAATAAAAACTAATTGAAATAAAGAGGGAAAATATAAATATCAGGTAAAAAAAACTTCCAAAATTACTAAAACTAAAGCTGAAATAAAAATAAATTAAAGCTGTCATAGAAATATACAGTCTAACCCAAAAATTATATATTTTTTTATTAGTGGGTGCAGGACACTATTTCATTTATGTAAGTGAGGGTAGCAAAATAAAGTAAACTGTGACATATGATACCCAAAAAGTCTTCATACAGTGGACTACCAGAAAAATTTATAAAAATTTGGGACCAGTTATTATATAGACACTTTGACCTGACCATGTTTTGTGACCCGACCAAGTGTTTTTTTCTTTAATTGCTAATGCGACCTTTTTACACCACAGACTGAACAAAATTAAGCATTGCTTGGTAATTTGTTGACCTAAATTGGTATTTAGCTGTCAGCTGAAAACTGAAAATATATTTAAAAAAAAAATAGGTAATTGAAACATTAATAAAGACTATAATAGTATATAAATAATACTAAAATAACACTGGTAAGGGTTTAATGTGTATTGGAACACGCAGCACAACGGAAGGAAAGTGTGAGATGTGTGTGTGAGTGTTTTTGTGTTAAGCACTCACATGATCACAGACATTGGGGTCTCCACCATCTGATAAATATTTCTCAACAACAAGTATTTGTTTCTCTGTGACAGCCTTTAGGAACAAAGCCTGGTCCACTGTCTCAGGCTGAAAAAAATGTTAGCCAATAATTACACCTCAAATCTGTACATTTTAGGGGTTTAAAATGATATAGCAGTTTATATTGTGGAAAGAGTTCCTTACCAGGATATCAGGCTCTGGCTGTTTCTTTAGCGCTTGAATCTTCCTTTCCTTTCTCCTCTTCCTCAACTCCAAAATGTTAAAGAGGTCTTCTACAGTTTCTAGTTTTAACTGTCCTGACCGGTCGACCTAAGAAAAATAAAAAGACAATGGTTTTTCATTATGCTACTGTGCGAAAATGTAAAGCCATGTTCTCTTTTATCAAGTTGTAGGCCTATTCATTCTTACATTGAGTTTGAGCTTCTCTTCACTCAGTTTGATGCCTTTCTGGGAGGTTTCATTCAGGTCCTGTTGTGTCTGAAGACCATCCTGTTTCTCCTGAATGATGCTGGTCTCATATTCCCCTGCAGCGAACGCCTCTGCACAGGCACCTCCTGCCAACTTTCCCTCACCTCTCTTCCCAGTGACCTGTGATTAGATGTGATACCCATAAGTCTAGGATTTCGTATGCGTATGAATGGAAGTCAATGGAACACAAGCATCTGTGGTCTGTGACCACAGCTTTTTTTCAAGGATTGAACAGCTTCCAGAGAGAGAACAAGTGTGTAGTTTAAAGTAGATGTAATTTGATTTAGTGATTGTGTGGGTGGGGTGAAGGGAGTGTTCAGCTGTTTTGAGAACCTAAAAAAATAATTACACACATTTCTGTTGTTTAAAATAGGAAGACTGGCCAATGCAGTTGGCTTATTCTAGACATCCTGGAACCTTCTTAATCGCTGAAAGATATTTAATAACACCACATCACTCCCCCCCATTCTTTCTTTTTTTCTCATTTATGCCTTTCTCTTCTCTTATTTTCTTTAATGTACAATCTGTTTCTTATGTATTCTTTATTTCTTCCCTTTTTCTAAGAATATGTAAGCACAAACATTTACTTTTCTGTCTCTCTCATTTTTTTTAATTCATTTTCTTTTTATTCATATTCATTTTCTACTTTCTTTCTCTTGTGTTCTTTAATGTAATTTATTTTTCTTATATTCTTCATTTCTTTCAACAATACAATTGTAGCTTGTAATTGTGAGCAGTGTTATATATTACTATATTTATTAGTACTATATATATTACATTTTTAATTTGGTTTTTATTTTTTCAGTATTCGTTTTAGCTTAAGTTTTAATAATTTTGTTATCTGCTTTTCATTTTTTATTATTTTAAATATTTCTATTTATCTTTATTTCCATTTGCAGTTTATTTTGTCTTTCATGTAAGCATAAACACACACGCATACACACACACGCATACACACACACACACAAACACACAATGTTGTGTAGGTGTGCTTTCTATATCTTTTTTCTCTTTAAAAAATGACACATTTGCATTGGATATTTGCATTTCTTTAGCAAAATAAATTCTATCCATATAAATGTTGTTAGTTAAATTGAATAGTTCATAACATGCACAAGTAATTCAGGGAACCTGTTACCACAAATTAAATAAATGCATGGCTGCAAGTTAAAAACGTATTCATTTAATTAAACATTTTAAGTTGCAAACATTATTTTGTTCAGGTTCTGTTGACATAATGTTGATTGATTACATTAACTTAATATTGTGTAATTTAAATTAAATGTTTTGCATTAAATTATTTTTTAAATTAAGTTGTAACTTAATAATGAAATTGTCTTGATAACTTTGGAAATTGGGTATAGTGGATTTCTAGTTCCCAGCATGCTTTGCACAGGGCTGGATAAGGAGAATAAATGTTAAAAGGGAAAGACCCTTTTAATGCTGTCATTCGTTAAATTACAAATTATTAAGTTATTGTAACTAACTCAATATAGTTTGTTGGTTGAATATAATTTAAAAGATCAAAAAAAGAAAGAAAAAGAGATGCAAACTGTTGAGCCAACACATTAATTTTTAGAGGGTGCACAACATTAGGACGAGAACGCGCTGCATGCATCACCACAAAACTTACCAGCTCTTCAACACGCAGCAGTCCCATGTCTATGATCTGTTTGTGTTTTTAACTCGTTTTGCTGTAAGGCTGCCTGTCTGGTGGGCGATAGTTCTCTTTTGTGGTAAATTAGAGTCCCAAAGCAACCGGTGTTGTCTGCTCAACTCCCTGATGGTCTGTGTATCTCCTCCATCACCACCCATATATATGGTTCCAGACTCTGGCGCGGACCATAAAAAAGTTAGATCATATCCCTTACATTCTCTCCTGCTCTTTCACCGCCCACAAAATTCCAATGACACCTTCATTCATCCTTCCCGAACCTCTGATGAATCTCGCGCGCACGATGACTGCACGAGCCAGGAACGCGCGGCTTCCGCTCCAATTCTGGTATGGGCGGCGCGCACGCCGGCTCACGCTTACGGCTTACCAGTAGCTCTAGACTTACAAGACTGACCTGCGACCACTGACACTTGTGCAACAGGTGCACAACGGCATGCATAGTCTATTCCGCTCGTGAGAAAAGCAATAAAGCTGTGTGACGTGGCCTTTTTGTCAATCATTAGTAAGGGAGACACTCTTTTCAGGCCTGCTGCTCCAATTAATATTTCTCAGGGTAGGTCTATTTTTTAATTCAGCTTCTGTTAAGGCGCATATATGATAAAGTCTTGACTCTTGCCTAAAAAAAGTTATTTCCCCGGATATTTTCCGGTATTATATTATTATATAAAAAGACAGTTCATGGTGTCACACTACATGGGGTAAGTTGTCACAAATGGTAACCATTAGGCGTTTCAGTTCAATTTTAAGATTAAAAATAATTATAATAATAATAATTTTAAAAAGATAACACAAATATATCATCTTTTTGGTCAAGATAATATACAAATACAGTATGACAAATATGCAATAACTTATAGCCCCAGTCACCTCCATAGAACAGTATAGTAGACCTATAATAGTATAGTACAGTACAGTATACAATTTCTTTGTATGTTTGTTTGTGATGATTACATTTATATTCAAGGACATTTATTTATTTTTGTGCTCTCTGTTTTCACATGGGCTCATTTTTAGTGTTCATGTCACCATGCGTCCTTTTGCAATCAAGAGCTGTTAACACTCACTATATTTAATGGCCGTTATAATTCAAGACTCCATTGTAACAAATGTTAAAAAAAAACATGCCAGTATGTGAAGTTGTGCAAGTCTGGCTTGAGCATGACAGGTATGGAATGATGTCTGTGAACTTCCTTTCACATGGCAATACTGTCTGATGACAGTCAGTAACAGGCTTTTAATAGCCTTATGGTAATGACAGAGTGACATGTTTGAGACATCTTTTCACCTCTTATGGACAGAGAGCAATACGTATAAATCTGAGCTGATGTCATCCATCAACAGCCGTGTTTTTACAGGTGCATGTACTGTATCTGCAAGGCGCTGATGTCCTTCAGCCACAAGCTGAGCAGGTGCAGAATTGCACACAAGTGTGATCACTCAGTGATATGAAGTTTACTGTAAAGAGTGAGGAGCTCAACCAGTCCATCAGCCATAAATCAAAATCAATCGCAAGATTATTTGCAATGGAGTTTTCCTTAAAAGGAGACACTTAGGCCAGGTCACTAGACCTTTATCTGAGAGATACCAAAGGTCATGACTCAAGATGAAGAAAGAATGACTAATGAGAGTGTCTTGCTCAATGGCACAAGGCTGGATTGCCATTTGTGAGGTTCAAACCTTCTCCTTCTCACCAATCTCAATCTTACAAATCTAAAAAAAAAAAAAAAAAAAAAAAAAAACAGCCACTCCCAGATGTTCTGATATAATTAAACTGAATAAATCATTTCTAAAGTTATTTACATTATTGCACAAACCATAATAAATTATATTACACTTTTTTTATTTTTACGAAATTAATTAAGCGAGTACATAAAAAATAATCAAAAAGCGTTTTGGTTACTTTTACTTACCCCAATGGTAAGCGTATATATACACTGCCTGCATGGACAAAAAAAGTTGCTGTTTGGGTTTAAATAATATGATATAATATGCTAAGAGTCTATGATTGGATCATTATCACAGTGATTATTATGTTATATGTTTGGCAACAGTTCTTCTAACCATAATTGATGGAGTGTGTAGCTTTTCATTTCTTAAACAACCATGGAAGACATGGCCATATTACAGTATGACAATGTCAAGATTCATCAGGCTCAAATTGTGAAAGAATGGTTGGGAGGGAGCATGAAGAATCATTTTAACACATGAATTGGCATCTCTGAGTCCAGACCTTAAATTAATTGAAAGTCTTTGGGATGTGCTGAAATAGACTTTACAGAGTGCTTGACTCTTGCCATTACAAGATTTTGACCAAAAAATCCATTCTTCCTCCGAGCCCTGAATTCGATTCCTCCCCGTGTGAACTCCTGAATTCCCTGATCCAAGCCCACATTCAAGGCTTGTCTCTGCCACTGATTCCCCCCAGCCCCAGGTCTCCTTTGTCGGCCAGCTCCAAGTCTCCTTTGTAACTAAATACAATAAAATATTTAATCCACAATATTTTATCCACAAATAACACATGACTTTGGTATTTAAACAGATCTTAAAAAGAGAACATAAACGAATGGTCTATATAGCTTTCTATTAGTACTAAACTGAATAATACATAATTTTCCAATAATTTGAATGCTACAGAGGAAATTGTTTTTTTTTTGTTGGAAAATTTGCATTTATTACATTTATAATACAATTTAAAGAAGCTTTTATAATATTTTTTCTTTAAAAATTCCTTTGTAATGGCAGTGGCTAATATATTATATATATATTAGCAACAAACGATTAAGTAACATATAGTTGGTTAATGGCCTGAACATGGTCTGAACAGCAGAGAGGAAAGTCACTTGTGGGCCTGAGATCAGTTTTAGCTCTCTGTAGGGTGTGGGAGAGGAGTGCTCACATCGCTTGAGACAGCAGCCCCTGAAATAGGACTCTTATATGCCTATAATAGTAGTATAAATTGAGTGGTGGTGTTAAACTCTTTTATGGAACAGCCGTTCATGTGAAAAAAATAGTAATGGTATGGAGCACTGAAAAAAAAAGCTGCATATTTTCTCTGATATTTAAAATTAAATTCAGACTGCATGAAAAAAGCGTTAATTTTCAAATCGACTCCAGCCCTCACAATGCTTTCTATGCTGAACTGCTCATTTAATAATAGTAATTAACTGGCAGCAAGTGTCAAGTAACTTACTGTAAAATAAAAACAGTTATAATCTGGCAGCTATTGACAAGTACCTTACTGTAAAATAAAAACAGTTATTAACTGGCAGCTATGACAAGTAACTTACTGTAAAATATTCACAGTAATTAACTAGCAACAATTGTCAAGTAACTTACTGTAGAAGAAATAACCGTATTTTGCTGTTTTCATTTACAATAGCAACCATGTTACTGTAAAGAAAAACACACTAATTTGCAAGTACTGCTTTTTTAATGGTAATAGTGTTTTCACAGTAAAATAAAACAGTAAGGTCCGTGTACGGGTCAGTGTATCATCCGATCATTTGATTTCCAATTTGAAACGAAATAAGCAGAAACGAGAAAACGGCGCCCTATTCGTTTTAAAAAAAAAAACGAAAAACGAGATTTCGGCTTGATTTTTCGTTTTTTAGTTCACAGGCAAAAACGAATAAATGACTTTAAAATTAGTTTTCTACATGTGGGTGGTCCTGAGACGCCCCCTTCCGCCGATTGGTCAAGCAAATCTGAGCATGTGACGTCATCAGTCGTCGCTCAGGTCTGTTCAACAAAATAATAGTCCTCTACTATGGCTACCGATTCTTAAACGGTACAGGGCAGGCCCTATTGGGCTTTCTTCTGTGCAACTTTACCGTTTCACAGAAATCTTTACATCAGAAATATTAAATATTAGTCTGCCACCAGCCCGTTTTATTTAGCAGTGCGGAGTTAAATCTGTTTGGTGAAGCTGCATTTGACAGCGGCGAGCGGGAGAGGCTCTGACCAATGTTCAGTCAGCAGTCAGAACTTTTCTTTTAGATAGTATACGCTCCGTTTTGACACGGGATTGTGATTGCAAATACTGTAATGCCAATCAGCTAAGGGTGGGTACCGATGATGGTGAAATACATTTTTACTGAAACTGTAATCATAGCCGCGACCCGCGAGAATGATTGACAGGACGATAGAGGCAATTAAAAGCGCAATAACGTCAGTTAAAAACACAATTAAAAAAGTGTTTAATATAAGTGACTTTGTCTGTTTTATTGTTTTTGTTGTTTTTAATCAAATAATTGTGAACCACAAAACAAGCCTTCGTTTTAAAGAGCGATTTCCAAAATATATTTTATTTATTTGTTATAATATGGGTATTTTATGTCACCCGTCTTAGTTTGATTATATTATATATGAGTTGTTTGAAAATTTAAATTGAGTTGGGCCAACTTAATTTTGAACAATTTAAATTGAGTTGGGCCAACTTAATTTTAGAAAATTTAAATTCTAAATATTAATTATTGAGTTGAGCCAACTTAATTTTGAACAATTTAAATTGAGTTGGGCTAACTCAATTTTGGAAATTTTAATTCTAAATATTAATTATTGAGTTGGGCCAACTTACTTTTGGAATATTTAAATTCTAAATATTAATTATTGAGTTGGATCAACTTAATTTTGAACAATTTAAATTGAGTTGGGCCAACTTAATTTTAGAAAATTTAATTTCTAAATATGAATTATTGAGTTGGGCCAACTTAATTTTTAGAAAATTTAATTCTAAATATTATTTATTGAGTTGGGCCAACTTAATTTTGAACAGTTTAAATTGAGTTGGGCCAACTTAATTTTCGAAAATTTTAATTCTAAATATTAATTATTCAGTTGAGCCAACTTAATTTTGAACTATTTAAATTGAGTTGGGCCAACTCAATTTTTGAAAATTTAAATTCTAAATATTAATTGAGTTGGGCCAACTTCATTTTGGAAAATTTAAATTCTAAATATTAATTATTGAGTTGGATAAACTTAATTTTGAACAATTTAAATTGAGTTGGGCCAACTTAATTTTCGAAAATTTTTATTCTAAATATGAATTATTGAGTTGGTTCAACTTAATTTAATTGAGTTGGTCCAACTTAATTTTAGAAAATTTAAATTCTAAATATTGATTATTGAGTTGGGCCAACTTAATTTTGGAAAATTGAAATTGAGTTGGGCCAACTTAATTTTAGAACATTTAAATTCTAAATATTAATTATTGAGTTGAGCCAACTTAATTTTGAAATATTTAAATTGAGTTGGGCTAACTCAATTTTGGTAATTTTTAATTCTAAATATTAATTATTGAGTT